GATTGTGTTGGGCTTTGGCTGCCAGGTTGCAGAAAGAGCCCCGAGTTATTGACTTCCAGTAACTTGGCAATTCCTCAGAAACAATGGCTAAACTGAGCTCATTCCTTGGCCTCAGGCCTGGTTTGTTACATCTACAACACAGGGGCAAAGTTTCCCATCACATGAGATACTTCTAAATCCTGATTTTCATTACAGGGATAGACGGACCATCCAAACGCAGGGCTTAGTTGTCCAGCACTACATTCCTTTCCAAAGAATAAAGTCATGTCTCACATGCCAGGACTGGGTCAACCACACAAAAGGCCAGAGCTGCTCTTCCCTCTGTCCCAGCCCTGCTCAATTTTTTTAGCTCGTGTGATGGGTTTTGCAGTGGATTTCTGGGCAGTGATCCCCATGTTTACACCAAGCTGATCCAGTGTCCTCCCTGGAGAGCCACAATGCAGTCTGCATTCTGGCTTATCCTTCTTGCAGCACTTCCATAGCTATACCCAAAATTTAACACCCTGGGGAAGACCCACGAGTGTGAGCAGAATTGTCCTGTGTCTTCCTTTCATTCCTCCTGCCTTATGTGGGGTTTTTGTCATGTTAGTCAGCTCAGCACTTCATTTGTCATCTTCCACCACTGGCCTGGGAAGTGCTAGCCCAAGAAAGTCAGCAAGTGCTTACCCACTGGTACAACCTAGAGGCACATAGGAATAAATAGCCAGGGAGTGACTGCCTTACTATTATAAGTTATTTAGATCGTAGCTGTCTGTAGCGAGGTTCATGAGCAGGGCTGTTTAATCACACAGTTGCTTCACCCATATCCACATTAAACTGAGGACCTGCCCACTTCTCCTACACATGGCCCTGGTGACCACCAGGAAGGCTTGGGAGGGTCAGCAAGAACAGGATTGGCTTCAAAAACAGGGCTTAAAAAGACAAACAGAAGGAGAAAAGAATGAAGGGAAGAGGATATTTAACCTCAGTGTACCAAGGAACTGAGAAATAGAGGAGCAGGCTAAATTTCCTAAAGCTTCTTTTTAAAAAAATTTTCCTATTTCATCTTCTTTTTCCTCCCCCAGCAGCTATGAGTTTTATCCCCACAATGTACTTTGGTGATCATGGGGATGGGGGGTCAGTCTCTGGTTGTTTTTCCATTTATTTATTCAATCCTTTGGGAGGAGCAGGACTGGATAAGCCTGTGGGCAGCCAGAAAGGTTTCCTTCCCAGGCTAAGGTGCCTCACTACAGAGGTGCTTGAGTTCACTGTTTGGTCATCTCCTCCACAGGATGGGCTTCTCCCCTGCAGTTTTAATCACTTCATCTACAGAAACCCAAAACAGCAGACTGAATTAAAGAACAAACTCAGATCCTGTATCTTGGCTTTGGCTAGCGTGATGCATGGTGTCCATTTGAGTCACGAGGGCTTTTGGTGGGCTGCTTTTCCTGAAAAGCTGCTGAGGGATGCCATCAGCATCACCCTGATAAAGAAGCAGGGGATGAGGGCTGAGCTGGAGACACAAGCTGTACTCCCTCTGGCAGATTCCAGCTGCAGGGCTTGGGAATACTGACCCAAAGGGCTCGTGGAATATTGTAGACCATAATGCAATAACAGAGCCTCTCGTTGCTAGACCATTCACTTAAATCAGCCCAAGACAACAGTAAGGAAAGGTAATGACTATCTTATGTGACAATTACCATGGCCCAGACATGTCTCAGTTCCCAGTAGGCCAGTGCCAACAGTCATGATTGACAGCACCAACAAGGCACTGAGGTATGAAACTATAGGGAAAGCAAGTTGCTCCTTCACTAGGCTGGGAAAACCATCATATGGGAGCTCATGCTATGATTGCAAGTGACAGGCAGAGAGGAGAGAGAAAAAACAGATCTTATTTTCTCTGCAACAGCGGTCTTGACATGGCATGCCAACCTCCATTCATTGTCTCATTTTCCTTTCAGGTCGCTGAACAACTTATTAATCCATTTGGAGAAGATGATGATGATTTTGAAACTAACTGGTGCATCGACAGAAATTTACAGGTTACTGTTATTTCTTCTTGCAGCTTTACTGTACCATAGATTATCATTACATTTAACCCTATTTCTTATATCATGGTACAAATTAAGGGCAACAAGTGTCATCAAAACGAATTCTTTCCCTGAAGGAGTATTTACAGCTGTGATCCCCAGATTTTATTTTCACAAGCTAATGCATCCTGATTTAGGCATTTGGCATTTCTTGATGCCTGACTACACTTGCAAACAGCTGACCTCAAACTATAAGCTCACTTTATGCCTGGTAAAACATGTAATGTAGGTCAATCCTGCAAAATCCTGCAAAATCCATCTATTTCTACAGAGATGAGAGCATGTTTTGCTACTCTGAGTATCTAGAGATTACAATATTGTATATGAATCTTCCTTTAAAAAATAAAATGCAGTAAAGATATCAAAAAGACCAAACAGGGTCCTGAACTAATAAGCAGCACCCATACCATGATTCATGTCACAATGCTGCTGCCTAAAGCAGTATCTGTGGTCAGCACAGGAGACAGCGTCCTCAGTGGCAGGAGCTGTGAGATGGATGGGGTACATTTGTTGCAGTTACCCCCGGTTCCCAAACAGCCTGTGTGAAGGAGACCAAAGGCATGAAGAGGTCCCATGGCACCTGCTGCTCCCCTTGCAGGTAGAGCTAAGCATAGGGTTGAGCTGCTGTTGGACCTCACATCTGCTGGGGACCACTGAGACTGCAAAGCAGAGCCCAGATGTTAGAGGGAGTCAGGGCAGGGAACAAAAACCAGCATATTAAGCAAAGTAAGCAATGGAGGTATGCACAGGAGTGGGAAAGGTCTTCATGCTGCCAAATATGCTCTCTGGCTTAACACCACTTCAGGCTGCTTGTGCTACTGTGCCTCAGAGCCCTTTGTATAAAACATATTGGAAGGCTCTAGAGCAGGATGGTCACATGCTTGGTTCTGAATGTCTTAAAATGTGGACGAAGCCTATCAGAAAGCTTCTCGACCTCTGGATACTTTGAAGAGCACAATTAATACTCTAGACAGACTTCCCATAGCGCATGAAGGATCATATGTTTATTTAACTACATCATGCATGAGGAAAGGACTTCAATCTGACACAAATATCTTTGCAGCATAGAAGACTCAAGTGAAAATAAAATTTATGCTTTCATGAGTATGGGAAGGTATAGGGGATATATTTTGTAATACTGAGTCTCTTCCCAATGCCCAGAATACACAGCTTACTTTAAAGGGTTTCTGAAAGAAATGTTGACCCAGGGAGTATAAAGCAGATTATTTCATATACTGTATTATGTTGAAAGTGGCATGATTTATACCAAAAAAACCTAAGGTCTCACTTCTGGCGGTGGACGAGATGCACATGAACTTACCAAGGATGGAGAAAGATATTTACTGGAATGATTCCTCTGCGCGGCCACCCTACACAAAAGCAGCTGCTGATTACTGCATTCCTTCATTCCTTGGATCAACTATTGAAATGGGGTGAGTGGTACTAAGGATCCTTAATGCCATCAGAAAGATCACCACTTCTGCAGCCCATGTTGACTGACAGATAGCACAGGACTGTGGGCCGTGACCATGTTGTAAATGGGGAAGATGGAGATGGGAGGTGATGCTACTGGGAGGGAATGGACCGGCTGGTGTTGGTGGGATGATGTCTCCAGTGGTCCATGTGCTTATAAGAATTGTGCACCCATTGCTTAAGTTGTGTAATTAAAAGTATGTTTGCAGGGAGGGTTGAGCATAGAGACTTACCTATATGTAAGTGACACCTACTACCTGGCTTTATTTGGCAGGCTGGCTGATACAGAATTCCTCTACGGGGAAGAGTGGCCCTGGGAAGAGGAGAAACACCGCAGACAACGATCAGTCCTGAGAAGAGTCAAGAGATTTCTCAGCGTCCATGAGGGCCCTTCGTCCCCGGCTCACCGGCGTTACAATCGGCAGACAAGTGAGAATTCGGTGTTTTTCCCAGCAGATGAAAAGGGGCACATCAGGCGGTTGCAAGAAATGCACACAAGAGGGAGGCACTCTACCTCAAGCTTCAAGAAGAAACATGACGGAGTTGATAGAAGTAACAGACTTCACAGTAGCAGAGATCTAGGACCCATAACAGAAACCTCAAGGAACGAGGGACAGTTCGACGACAGTGACACCTCATCTGAGACAAACAAGCCAGTTCCTGAGGTCATCATCTCTGAAGCTGAGGAGAAAGCACCTGATATGCTAGCCAAACCAGATCTGCAAACAGAGCACACCACAAGCATGCCAGAAGAGAAGCTCCAAAGGAGCCTAACTGAAGCAAATGTAACTCTTCTGGACCACCCCTTCTTCCCCCCGGAAATGACTACATACCTCCCAGGCTCTGAGGTGCATCAGTCACTTCCTACTGTGATAGGGGAGCCCAAACCTGAACCCCACGGAAGTAACATAGCCGGTTTCATAACAGATCATGAGAGAAACCTTCAGCGGTGGAGTTTACCGAGCTTCCATAGTCATAGTACAGGGTCAAATGCCGACGCTGCACTGCCTTTAACAGATCCTGGGACAGCTTCACAACAAAAGACCTTCAGTGATGGAAAAAATGTTACTTCTGCTGCTGCTCCAGAGACATTTGAAATGCAGCACTTATGGGAAAACCCAGATACTAAAGAAACAGCCATAGTAGAATTTTCTAATGAGAAAAGTGAAAGAAAACTTTGACTGTGCTTCCCCTGCAGCTGACTGAACTTCCTGTCTTCTCTTGAGAGTGGTTCTCACACAGATTTGCTGAAAGTGCAGAAGGGCAGACACAAGGCTCAGACAAGTCCTGAGCAAGATCCAACAGAGGATTTGGGCACCTAAATAGGCATGCTGACATGCTTTAAGCTACTGGGTCGCTGGCTTGAAATCTTGACCAGGTGGGGAAAATGTTTATGGAGAGAAATGGGAGTCTCAGGAGTGGATGCAAACCAGCCACCACACATGGCAGTGAGCTATGTAGGCTCACCTAGAGGAAACACTAAGGTTATCAGAAGAGCGGAGGTGGCTCTTTCCACTTTGGATCTACCCTGAACTTCACCACTTTTGGCTGCTCCTTCAGATTAAGGTGCATAACATCCTTGCAAGACCCACCAACAGTTTTGATTTCTACTCAGGCAGCTAGAAGGGGAGGCGTGGGCTCAATTCCCTCCTCAGCCTAGTGAGATTCAGCCCACCATCTCTCACTGCCTGGAGGAACGCTTGAAAAATCAGGCTCCACACTTGTGTGGGGCAAGAATCTGCCCTGCTTCTGCTGAAGCCATGGCACTACAGAGTGGAAAAATAAAAGGATTAAATTTTTGACTTCATTAAAAAAAATGAAAGAAGGAAAACTGCAGATGAGCTGGGCATGAAGGGGTCTGAGCCTTGGTCTCTGCTCCTTGGAGCATGTATGTGGTGTATTTATTGGCTGTTTATTGTGAAATAAACAGGTGGCCTCTCTAGGGATGACAAGGCTGTGGCACTCTCCCAAGAAGTGATGGAGCTGCAGGCACAACGGAGCTTAGGGATCCACTCTTGCAGGAGAGCTCCACTCTGCCGCTCCTGCAAGAAGTCTCAAACCATGCCCCCAAAGCAGCGGTGACTTTGTTTTTAGCTCTCACACATATCTACACAACTGCAGTCCAGAGTGTGATGCCAGCATTCCCCCACGAGTGAGTATCCAAGTAGATGGTCTCCTCAGATAAGGGACAAACCAGGTAGCTCAGAGGCTAGGAAGAACAAAGAAGGGGGGAGACACAGAAAATGACAGGGGCTGCAGCAGCCAGCAAGCAGCGTAGACTGTATGGACAGCAAGTCAACCCAGCTCTCTTGCCCAGAAGACCACACTTCAGACAACAAACCAGTGTCACTACCAGGGTAACTGGTAGCACCAATGGCTCCTCAGAGTCTTCAGGAACCCCTGAAGCTGGGAAGGGAATGAATGGATCTGCCTGCTCCAGCTCCAGCTGAGGAGCCCTTGCAGTAGGCTATCACATACAGCAGGACTCTGCTATCTCATCTGCTCTACCCACTTCTACTTCTTCCAGCTTTGTTTCAGTCTGGGAACCGGCTCCTGTTGGTGTGCATTAGCCATAGTCTGAGCAGTGCCACCCTTTCAGTTCCTTCAAAGACACTAGACAAAAGCACATGTATCCACATCAGGAAGCAGAGGACGCTTAGCCCAAGGAAGAGCTGTTCAAACTCATACTATGGGAGCTTCAGCTATGCAGAAGAACCAAGCACAAATTTCCCAGGCACCTATGAAGACACTTTTTCACACCGTGACATGAGGTGATGCCGCTGTCTGGCAACAGCTGAGTAGTGAGGTTTGATCACAGTTCTGGAGTAAGGCGTTCTGGTGCAACTTCACCTTTGCCACTTTCCAGCAAGTCCTCAGGCAAATCAAGTCGCCATGTTCAGGTTTGACCAACAAAATGAGAACCTCAACATAGTGAAATTATGTTTAAATAAACAGCACCTTAACCTAGCAGTCCTGTTTTCTGGATGGCCCTTACTAGGCAATACTCAGCTTCTGGCGACATCCTCTATCTTTTCAGTCACAAGAGCCCCAGACTGTTGACTCTCCCTGGGGAAGAGGACTCTATAGGTCTGTGACAATGGTGGAAGCACATAGTTTTCTCTTCCCTACATTAGCAGAGAAAAAAATATTTTCCTCCAGCATTCCCTCTTTCTTTCCTATTCCCTATTTCTGCTTTTAGCTGAAGCCACACTTTTCCGTTCAATATTTTCTCAACTGAATTGCATCTGCAACTGTCAAGGAACTCCATTTACCAAGGAGCTTAACTTTAACAAATGGTAAATTTCAAGTATAAACTTACATTTTAAGGATAGCCAGACAGCTCCAGTCACACAGCTAGACACAAACTTAAAGCAACTGCTGCTCTCCTTGGGAGCCTGAAACACTCCTTTATAGCACTTTGTTAAAGTCAGGAGAGCAGTACAGGTTTCAGGGGAGTTTGGCCATACTCCTCTCAGCTGCATGTGTCTTGGCAGGGTTTCCAGCAGCTGTGGAGAGAGTCTGGCCTATTATCTAGCTCCCTCCTCACAGAACATAAGCTTGAGGAACTGTCCTTCTCTCTGTAAGGGAATTTAAGCCAGAAATTAGAGACAACTGTGAAGTGCCCACTACAAGTCTGCACTGAGGGTCCAGTCCCACCACACCTCCTCTCTCTCCTTCACACATCTTCGACCAAGGCTTAAGGTGTTGGACCAATGTGCTCATCCTCCTCAACCCAGACCTCGGCATGTTTCATCCCAGCACTGCTAAGCCTGAAGAAGCCTTCCCAGCATTGTCCAGCTCTGCTCCTCTTCCATTGTCTTCTTCTCAGCCTGGCAGCTAACCAGGATGCACACTGTTGCTTTCCACTAGGACATGGTGTGTCTCGTGGGCAGTGGTTTTGCTCCCTCTCCCATTCACTCTGCCTGCACTCCCTGGCCCGGCAACTGTATTCATCCTTTGATGAAGGCTAGGGGTGGCCACACAGCAGCCATCAAAAGTGTCACAGAGGTGTCTATTAGACAGGTAGATACATGTTAAATTAGGAATGACAGCTCTGAAGTCCCACAATGTAATGTGCAACACACAAATAGCATTTCACACATAGCAGGCCAGCTCCAGGTTAGCTATAATATTCCATTCATTGCTTGTAAAGAAGCTAGTGCTGGGATGAGTTATCAGAAAAATTTCCTTTCATCATTTAGTCTGTTATCTCACTTTTGCAAATATCTGTGGGCTCTGATTTGTATTAAATTACCTTTTGGGATTATATGCTCTCTTAGGCACTTCTCTCAGTAAACTATTTGCCTTAGCATGGTAAGTGGACTACTTTAGCACACCCAACAATTCAAAACCTATGTTCACAGGTATAAACAATATCAAATTATTGCATGAATAAAGGCACTTCGAGAAACACAGTCATCTTGACTGTATTGAACTGTCAAGAAGGTTCAACCTTCCACACAAGTCAACTTGATGTCTACCAGGAACAGTAAGATAGACAGACCTACAGAAGTTGGCAAAGCTGGAAAAGACTGAGGAAAGAACAGGGCCAGGATAGACAAACAGGTCTTGCAGCAGCTTGCTCCCATCAAATGGTGTCAATCTTGAGCAGGATGAGATGTATCAGAACAAAGTGAGGGCCTGTCCCTGCACACACCACATGACTTTCCACCTGTTTCTAGGATGTGTTCACGCTCTGCACTGCAATTCGTAGAGCCGAGATGTTAGGCTGCAAGGACATGTCCACCACCCTTAAAATCCTCCATCATAAATAACAGATTGTTAACTCTGACTGCAAGCACATGTTTGAGGAATATATACCTATTTTAGAAATAATGAAAATGTACCGGAGTGTTAAATCTGCTGCATAGTAGAGAAAAAAAAAACAACACACCTCACTGCTGTTAAATGAACGATAGGGTTTTATAGATGTTCGTTTGTCTTGGTTTGCAACCAAACAAATTACATTTTCTAGACAAATAAGTTAGCTCATGGTCACTCTGTTCTTTAAGGGTGATATGAACAAAGGGGAAACAAGGCAAGATTGGCCTGAAATACATGGTAACTTTGTACAGCTCAAACTTGTCTGCAAAAAGAAGCAACTGGCAGCGGAGACACGGTTGCTAGAGGTTGATAGCCTGGATGCCAAATGTGTAACACAACGTGGCTGCAAATAGAGAGTCGTGAAAACATGCACCAGCAAGAGGGAATATTTCATACTGGAAGGCAAGATCAGTATCTCAGAGAGAACTACAGGCAAACCACCTCGCTCTAGTAATACTTATTGAGTCTTACAACTGAAGCCTTAAAATCCAAGGGGCTGTGATCGCAGGTCTGCCAAGGACAGTAATGGAAGTTGCGTTTGGTCTGTGCTAAGCGCGTCCAGGCAGGCGGCAGCAGCAGCAGCCCCCTGGGGACACCAACCCCTGCCCAGCGATGCCACAGGGGGGCAGTCTCCAGCTCCTCATGGCCCTGCCCTGCCTGGGAGGTGCCCCATGCCTGGGGTTGGGGCTGCAGACGTTTTTTGGCTTTAGGGGGAGATGAGCAGCCCCAGCACATCCCATCTCTCCCCTCCAGGCCACAGAGCAACCTGGATTTTCAGTCACTATTGCACCCTCTCCTGCCCCTCCTCTTTGGCCTCACCACGCAGAAACTGCTGTAAGAAAACATAAAACTAATCTGAAACAGCTCTAAATCCAAAGCAGATTTTGCTTTGTTAAGGTTTATCCATGTGTATGGGGGCAGTGTCAGCTTTAGCAATCCAAGCAAACACTCCAATGGGTATAATTTAGGTGAATCGTCTTCTGCCAAACCAGCACAGCTACCTGTGGCTGTTCCACACCTCTGCCAGCACTGAAGCTGCTGCCACTGCTGACAAGAAGTGGCTGGGGGAAGGGGGGGGGGGGGG